TGCGAAAGCTGATGATCGCAATGGAGAGCTAGCTAATTAATAATCCAGTCTGTTGGTTACCTTCCACCATAGTTTTAACCGTCTGTGTCGTTCTTGCGTAGTAACTGGTGATCTATACAGTGGAAATCCAGCGCGGTCGCTGGCGTTTGTCAGACGAATGTTCACCGACACTTTTTGTGCAACCAAAAGTTGGTACCCCACGAGAAAAGCAGGAGATCACTTGCGAATAGAACAATTCGCATTCCCTAATGTAACTCAACATTCAGGAGAAGACCGAATATGTTTACCATTTACAGTGCGTGCACATGAAACATGGTAGTTGAATAAAACGATTCAATCTTACACCTTCATACTATTTTGTTGAATAACAGGGCTATTAAATTCACAAAACAAATTATAAGAGATATATATATATTTATATATATATATATATATATATACATATAATATAAGTATATCTAACTATTTGATCGCGAAAACAGGTTTGTAATGGTAATTAAAAACAAGTAAACACTGAGAGCCAGACCATAAAAAATAAAACACGTAAGTGGAAAAGTGTACATTGTACAAATGAATATAACCTTTCTGTCGAATCCCATGCCAATGTATGAAAATCTCATCTTAATTGATCCGAGGACCAAAGCTGGCAGTGTGCAGCTGCATATCAGCGGGAACGCCTTTCTTCTCCAAGGGACGGCTGTGTGGAAGAAACCAACGGCCTCTAGGCCACTGGCCGCTAGAGGGCCTGAAACAGCACCGACGTCATGGTGTTGTACTAGTAGCAGCACCAGAGGCAGGAGAATAGATAGAGACCGCTTAGTAGAGTTTTCGAGAAATGCGCTAAAATCCGCATAATATTTAGGCTACGATTAAAACATATTTCCACGGTCTCCATAGCAGGATTTAATTTGTTCTTCCTGCTATTAGATACGGTAGGTCCTGATTTTGTTCATCACAGGCATGCGTTTAATCGTGGTAGTTCATAATGGATAAAAGGAATATTTACATTACCTTTTGCTAGCATATCCCACTTGGTTTTTGTCTCAAAGCTTAACAGTTCGTCTTTCATCATCGAAATATTTTTCTCAATTAAAATCTCTGGGTAGAAAATGCCAATGTGATCCTGTAAGTGTTTTCCTACTGGAAGGTCAGCGACTAGCGGGATCTGTCAAGAGTAAAAAATAAACATCCCATTCCGTCTCATTTGTTCCTTTTTCTAGCACACTTAGTATTGTCCTCATAACATCTTGTTGTAAAATATTAAACAATATATTTAATTAATTAATACCCCGTAAAAACTGCATAATTTAATCTTACATTAAACTCGTACGGGCCTGTCGCGCGACAAGCGCTCACCAAAGCGTAGCGTACAGAATCAAAATTTGATCCCACATCAAATGAGTCACGGGTTGACTGTGCATGCTCAGTTGAGCTCGCTACGTCACCCCGCAGACAGCTACTGTACTATTATGTGACCTAGATAAGGCTATGCGCATGCGCATTGCGAAATACAGACACAGATTAGAGCGCGTTAACTTGGTCCGGGCCATCCTGGTCTTGGCCCCCCTTTATATGCTGGGCCAATTTGGTGCCGGCCAGCCCGTATGTGGAGCGGGATAGTGTGCACACACTGCAAAAATGTGGCGCGCGCCTGGCCCGGACTAGTTTAATGTGATATCAAATTTGCAGTTTGTACGGCGTATTAGGTACAAAATTATCGTTAGTATGTTCGTCATTAAAATGCATTATAATTCTATAACTTACATTAAACTGGTCAAGTTGCTCTTTGGGTCCAACGCCAGACAAGAGGAGGATGTGAGGAGAGCCGATAGCTCCAGCAGAGAGGATCACTTCCCGAGACGCTCTCGCCTGTTTCTTCTGGGCTTCATGGATGAACTGCAAGCCTACAGTTCTCTTGCCCTCGAACATCACCTGGTGATTATTAAAATAGGCCATAGTATCTCGTACGAATTTTATAAATAACTAAAGGAATAATATGTTAGGTTGACCCCGTCTTCAATGTAATCATCGATGTTTAATTAATAAACATTATAAGTAAAAAATATGCAAGCGCAGTTTGAAATCTACAAGTTTATTGAAAGAAAACACATCGCAATTGTTTCGTGTTATGTCGAAACAGTTACCTTTGTCACGTGAGCATTTGTTAATATGTGAAGATTCGGTCTGTTCACCGCGGGTTTTAAGAAAACCTTGGCAGTGTCTGCGCGCGTGCCACCTCTGATGTTTGCCTGTGTCTTCATAACCCCTATAAAATAACAAAAGCACAAACGTAAAGATAAATATTAAAATATTTAACTTCTTATAACCACGATTTAATGATCAAAATTCCTAATCAAACAAAAAACAAAATCCCCCTTAAAATGAAATACCATAAATATAATGTGGTTTACCGAACGGGCTTTCTCCATTCACATCACCAACTCTATATCCTAATTCCCGCGCTGCATCTAGAACCACGTCTCCAAGTTCCGTGTAGGAGGATTGTGTGATAGTTAGAGGTCCTCCAACACCGTGGTACTCTGCAAGATTATTAGTAGATATTTTATAAGCAAATGGTTAAACGCATTACAAGCACACCTACCTGCTTCAGTGACCTGTTTTTACTATTATAGTAACTTGGCATAAACAAATGTACCCGTATACCGTGTAATTACCTTTATTCTGCGAGATTATTCACTTTGAAAATTTCTCTGTTGGTATCCTTAAACCTATCCATATATATGCACACTACATCACTCACACTGCCACACACTGCATCTTCATTGCCACCATTATAATATGAAATAATTCTCTTTATTAACCCTACCTGAATCTTTTAACTCAGGAATCTGCATATCCTCGGACTTTTTAAAGTATGGAAGTACGTCGTTATAACTCCACCCCGTTGCTCCCATCTTTTGCCATCTATCGTAATTTTCCGCTGCACCACGGATGTATATCATGCCGTTAATGCAACTGCTGCCCCCGAGTACTTTTCCTCTTGGCCACATGCTTTGCTATACAATTTAAATACATTACACTCGAGCACGATTCATATCAAATAAATGCAGTCGTTGAATCAAAACCATCGCGACAACAACTTCGGATAGCATATCAGTTCGGTGTTGCCGGATTCATGTAACATTATATGTCGTGAATATCCATATATATATATTATATTATCCTACTATTGTGCCTTTTCAATGAGAATATGGGCAACCTAGGCTAATATAGGCGAACACACATCGAAGCTACCTTGTTCTCGCAGGCCTGGCAGGAGAATTGCTGCGGCACTGTCCTGTAGCTCCAATCAACCTTCGTGTTTCTCAGAAACCCAAACGCAGCTGGTTGGTCTATGTCCTTAATACCCTCAGGCACCCCACCGGCCTCTACCAGCAGTACTTTCACATCAGGGTCCTCAGATAGACGGTTAGCGAGCACACATCCTGCTGTCCCTCCTCCTCCTATCAAGGTATAATACGCATAATGGAATAAATTCAACTACGATCGTACTATCTGAGCGAAACTAGTCTAGAAGGCGTTGGTGGGGGGGACTCGTTCAAACACTTTACTGGCGGAATGCGTTATTAGATCCACATCCGTATTCAATTAACAATCGAATCCGCAACGTTACGCACACGAGAGAAACCATATTTATTTGGCTACTGCATTGTGCATTTTGCGATGCACTGGCAAAATTCGATGAGCTGCGGGTCTTCCGCCACTCCTGTGCCTTATCTGATAATTATGTACTTTAACGTATTATTCGTACACATGTGCCGTTGTACTTTGTTAAAATACTAATTGCGCACAAATAAACATTTCTATTTTATTTTAATTTTAGTTGGAATATATCAGAGTTGGCTATAGTTCCTCTATGTTGTTACTAATGACGCGCCCGCGACATTTAGCGCGCATATTGTTGTTTTTTCTTTAATTCATCTCGTTCGCGATCAGAGTTGTGAAATTATATAGTTATCCCTCAGACATAATGTTACTTCCCCCCAAGTGAATGCACATCGTGATGTCACAGGAAGCGGTGACGTCAACTGTCCAATCAGTTTTACCTGTAGTTTTTATAGCAATTAAAGAAATTCATCCATAATATCTTAATATATAATGACCTATACATATCACTAGGAGTGAATAATAATAGATTATATAATAGATATTATTAAGAGTACATAATAGAGAATAGGTACATTAGAGGTATATATTCTAGAGCTTGAGAAGCAGGAAGGATTTGTTCTTTCTTTCATAACGAAGGGCAGGCTTTTATGTTGATGTAAAATATGACACAGCTAGGTGTGGCCGGGATATATATATATATATATATATACTCACCGATAATATAATCGTAGACATCGTCGGGATCCTCTACGCTGTATGTGAGGTTCTGACCGCTTCTCATGTACAGCCCTGCTGCAATCAGCACGACCAGGGGAAGCAGCACCTTGTCCATCACGGCCATAATCGTTCCTTAGGAAAGACAGCGACTATGGTTCTCCCTGACCAGGATGCATCGATAGCAGAACCGATATCCTGGAGAGTGTAGTGCCGAGTGCTTGCTTACATGTGTAAATACTGCCTGGACGCGGGCTGGGCTAAAGATCGGGGTCTGAAAGTCGTCGTCGTCGCCGACTAACCGGCCTTATCGTGAGAGTAACTGACACAAATCAGGTGACTAAGTCTTGTATCACGGCTCGTGCATCCGGTGAGCCGATATGATTCGCTACGTGGGATACACTTGCTCGGCCAATGAGGTTTTATCACCTTGCCCGGCCAATGTCATCTTTCTACGCGTGTAGTGACTTATTGTTTGGGATACGGTGGACCGGGAACACCGCACGGATATACACCGAAGTATTGGAACGTATATCCCACCGCTGAAGCATGCAATGACCGGTGCATATTATTCCACGTGGCCTCGACACATATAATATCCCGGGGAGCGTACACACTGGCTGTAGACTCAAGCAAATTCCCATCGCATGATGGTCTTTGAACAGATGTAGGTCCGGAGGGGCAAATATGTATATTCGCACTTGCGCGTCTTGTCCGTGCATGGCAAAGAATAACATGTACACCGTCTAATGTCTTATTTGTCACAGTTAGAATCCTACCCATGTCCGCGCGCATGCAAGGCCAAGAGAGAGGTGCAGGCGCGTGTCTATGTAAGAATAATAACGTTAGAGGACAGATGTGCAGATTTGTAATCTATGTCAGACAATGCACGCCGTTAGAGCTTCAGTTTAACTCCAAACTCCACGACAGATGGCGCTCTCGTTCTGGCTCAATCCTGAGTACGAAGGGGCCACTGCATGCAATTGGCTTTAACTCATGTTAATTATGTCGTCCCTGTATCGCTTACTCGGAATCGCGGATTTCCCAAAATTACCACCCACACACGATTTCTAGACTTCACTGCATCTCTCTTATCGTCTGTAACATGTATTGGTATAGCCATTAAACCGGTAAAAATATATACGTTTATAAAAAACATCGAGTAAATAGGAATTATAGCGATTAACACCACAAGCGATGTCGATGCGAATGAGTTTTTAAGTAGTAAGATAATGTTGACATACGTCTGCGGTCGCAGTGAATAACTACCCCTGAAATAGGTACCATGTACCTGGAGTATACTTGACGTGGAGACTGATTGTAGGAACGCCCACATTTCATTCATCATAAACAGTGTATGCATGTGTACTGTGTAGCTAAAACAGTCTAATACGATAGAGGTACGTTACACGTATTAGTACAGTCGGTTAGGTCAGAATATCATCTAAATCGTTCAAATTGTGAAAAAAGTGTGAAAATTGGTACACTTGCATACTTTTGTATGCTCTTTCATTTAAAAGCAGGACACATGCGATCCACCTACAACTTCGGCCGCCATCTTGAATTCAAAAATGGCCGCCGTAA